ATAAAAAAAATAATATTATTAAATATTATTAAAAATTCAAATTAGATTCGGCAATTGCATTTAAATACATACCCCTTTATTGCAAAATTATGTTTTGACATTTTAAAAATAAATTGCGATTTTAAACACAGAACATGTGGATAGATTGAAGAGCCACAGAAGAGCAGTGAAAGAGCCGTGGGTTCGCCACCCCTGGCGTGACGTCTCTTGACAGTGGGACAGGAACGAAACCTAGAGCATGTGGTAGTGATAGTATCAGGATAAGTAAGTAAGTCAGTCAATCAGACAGACAGACAGAACGTCAATAAGCCAGCAGCAACTAAGCAGACAAGAGGGTGTATATGTGTAGAACGAGACCAGGAAGTAATGAGTCACAGGTACAGGAAATAACAGTGATTAAGGCGATGTGGCAGGACTGTGTAGAGAGAACAGGGCCAGAGAGTAACGAACAGCAGGTGCATGAAATGATGATCACTATGACATGGTAGGGGAGAGACAGCGCAAAAACAACACAAACACAGGACGCAAACACCACAGAAACAGGGCATAAAGTCTATATCCTGACAGAGTTGTGCTCTGACAAGCTCTGGACCAAGTTCATCATTGCCAGAGACTCTCATTTTCACAAGGCTGTTGAGGGCTTCATCTGTACAGCAATCCCTCAGTGACGGATTGTACTGATTGCATAAAAAAGAGGGTAACAAAGTGTAAAATATAACAAATAAAATGCCTTTGGGAAAAATACATAGTAACGCTATGAGCCAGGCCTAATACTTACAGTAATAAAAATACAGGTTAAAAACAATGGCTAAATAAGTGTATATTATATTTTATATTCCATATAGATTGAGCAAATGGATAATTGCAAATACATTTTCAGAAATTTTATTCATTATTCGGGAGCTAATGTTTTCAGATATGGCAAACATTTCTTGTAATTTTCCAACATAAAATACAATAAATATCTACCTTAACGTTTGCTTAACTGTTGCTTTAAAACACCCAATAGGTTTGCAATTTGTTTTATTGACAAATTATGAGATAAAAGCATTTGAAGTTGGTTTCTAGCCTCACCTCCTTAAGAAAATGTATAAGTTTTTGGCATTAATTATTGGTCAACACTGAAATACAAATCAACTTTGCCCTTTGTTTCCTATATTGTGATTTACTTATTCTTTCCTAGATATTATAAAATGATAAGGACGGTCACCTTTATTATACAAATATATTACACACACAAGGAATTTGTTTCTGGTACAGAAACGAGGCAGCCATCTGCGGCACCAACTCAACCGATGGCTCTAACCATCAGGGGCAACTTGGGTTTCACTGTCTTGCCCAAGGACACTTTGACTGCAGGCACTGAGACCCAAACCTCCGGTTGGGAGACTGCTGCTCCATCCACCGAACCACAGTTGCCCCCAAGCTCAGGTCAGTATCATGGTCCACGCCATTTCGGAGTTCCAACTGAACTAACCTGTGGCTTGTTACCCTGCCTATATAACCTGCTCTGACTTCTGTTCTTGTCACCAGATGGTCACTTATGCTACGTAGTGTTGTCCAGCCATTCCTTGCTCCTGTCTGCGTTCTGACCGATTGCATGCCAGTAGGGCTGGCCCAAGACTTTATGGAGCTCTCCCCCATCTCACCTGGTTTATCATCCCAGAGTTGCTAGGACCATGCGGATGCTGCAACACTGATTTTTGGTAGCCCTCACTTAAAGAAGATGCTGTACATGGGGGTTTGTGGCCACCTGCACCGTTTGTACCTGGAACAAACAACAAATGACCGGCGGGGTTACTGCATCCATTCCCCATTCCTCATCAACCATGGGCCCATATCACTGTAGATTTCATCACTGGACTTCCTCCCTCTGAGGGGAAGATATGCATACATACCACAGGTGACAGGTTCTCCAAAATGGACATTTTGTAGCACTGCCCAAGTTACCATCAGCCAAGGAGACAGCAGGGTGCTTGTTACAATATGTTTTCTGCCTGTACGGTGTCCCAGAAAGCATAGTGTCCAACTGGGGACCCCAGTTCATTTCCCAGTTCTGGCCTGATATTTGTAACAGCTCAACATATCTATTAACCTGTCCTCCAGTTTTCATCCCCAAACAAACAGTCAAACCGAAAGAGTTAATCAAGACCTTGAGGCTGAACTATATTGCCTTTGTTCCCAAGACCCATCCTCTTGGACCAGAAATCTGTTTTAGGTTGAATACACTCACAACTCTTTACCCTCATCTACCACCAGTCTCTTGCCATTCTTTATGGTGTATGGTTATCAGCCACCTCTGTTCTTTATGTAGGAGAAGGAAGCCTGAACCCCATCCAACTATGCCATCGTCTGCCAATGCAGAAGAGCTTGGAGAAGAGCCTGGTTTGTGCTCCTGAAGACCTCCAAAAACCAATAAGCAATGCTCTCTGGCTCCAGTCTACCAACTAGGCTAAAAAAGTGTGGTTGTCAACTCCTGATCTGCCTCTCCTGGTGGAATGTTGTAAGTTGGCACCTTGGTTTATTGGCTCATTCTCCATTTCTAAGATAATCAATTCTACCTCTGTCCTCCTCCACCTCCTCAGGACTCACCATTGCCACCTTTCAACACAATCATCTGGAGCAACCTGGCAGACCAAAGTGAAGCAATGCTGTTCCTGCCCAGATCAGTGCTTGCTTGTCACAATATACTGATTACAAATGTATAGTAATCCATGAGATGAACAAGTTGGGGCTAATCAGAAGCTAACCTCTGGGAAATTTAATGGGAAAATTATATCAGCACCTTTTTTAGTGTGTTGGCTGTTGCTATGTAGTTATTCTACGCAGTTATTTGTGTGCTTATGAAACTAGACAGTTTACTGTGTCAGCACGTTTGTAGAGATAAGCATGCCTTTGTGTGAATGCTGAACCAGATAATTTGTATCCTGTTTTGTATCTACTTGAGCATCTGTTTCCTGCATTTGTATATGTGTGTATAAGAAGAGCTGTAGCCCTCCATTCTAGGAGCCTCATTTTTCAGACTGTTACTGTTAGGACTCTGTATGGAGACTGCTCCTTTCCTGCAGGGAATAAATGCGCAACAACTTTCAGAGTTGGTATCAAGACTTTATTCTACACTCACCAAGCTTTAATAAGATCATTTTTGCCACAGAAGACTCAAGCACTGACTGTATTCAGACTTGGAAGTTGGATAGGAGGACTGAATTTTTTTCTTTGTTAATAGACTATAATAATTTGGCATACGATATTGATATTAAAACCTGTTCATTCACACCATGCTGTATCCTTGGTATCCACTTCCATCAAGCGGACACTCCACCTTTCTATAAATAATTTTTAAGTATCAAATTGCCAAGCAATATGGTGATGCACTACACGAGGTTCCGTTAACTGAATATTCTCTGTAATTGATGGAATTTTTTCTATTAATGATGGAAAACTCCGAAGGCTGTTTGTCATTTTGGCAGAAGGCAATCTACACTAACAAAGTTTGATTACAGGCTACTAAAAAGCCTAAATGGTTATATGGCACTGACAAGTGTGGTGAAAAAAGAGGATGTTGATGCGTTGGATGAAGGACAACTGAGACCTACTCAGTGCACCTCACTGGAGGCAAAGGAGCATATCTATGACCACTACAGCTCTATGCTGCACCTCTGGTACAGAAGGAGCGCATGCAGCGGATGCCTCCTGGTGAAGTGAGCAAAATCAGGAAATCTCATGTTCAGAGGAGCCTCTAATCACTTTTAGAGAGAAATGTTTCCCAGCTTCCCGGCTGAAGTGGAGCTGGCAAGTCCAGTTTCCAGTGCAGCAGCAGAGCACGGGTTCAGCTTTCAGATCAAAATTTTAAGGGCTATGAAAAACCTAGTGACAGTCACCTCTGCAGCAGGTTAGAGCAGGTCAGCTGAGTTCAGTTCAGTTAGCTTGTTTACACACACTAGCTGCAATTTTTTTAGTGGCCTTTGCTGTCTATCAAATCAAATTGAATTTATTTATATAGCGCTTTAAAAACAACATCCAGCTCACCAAAGCACTTTACATGGCAGAATAAAATCACAATAAAGGACTAAAATAGAGTAAATAAGATCAGTGCAAATAAAAATAAAACAGCACAATAACACTGACACGCAGTTAACATACGTTCAATAAATTAAAATTAAAAGGAATGCATCACGCCCTACTGTGTATTAAAAGCCAAGCCAATTAAATATGTTTTAAGCAATGATTTAAAAGTACTAAGGTCAGTAGCTGACCTAACATTAAAAGGTAGACTATTCCACAATTAAGGGGCTGTTTTTTCGGCTGTTCGCATTAGGGGTCATCACAGCGAATCATCAGTTGCCACCTAAAGAAACTGGCATGAACATCTGAGGGACCTTGAAGGTTTGTGCCAATGCAGAAATTCAGTAAGGTAAAATGAAGCCAAACCATTAAGATCCTTAAAAACAAAAATTGATAACTTCAAATCAATTCTAAAACGGCCTGGAAGCCAGTGGAGAGAAGCCAGTATTGGGGTTATATCCTCAAATTTCCTAGTACTTGTCAAAAGACGAAATTCAGTAAGGTAAAATGAAGCCAAACCATTAAGATCCTTAAAAACAAAAATTGATAACTTCAAATCAATTCTAAAACGGCCTGGAAGCCAGTGGAGAGAAGCCAGTATTGGGGTTATATCCTCAAATTTCCTAGTACTTGTCAAAAGACGAGCAGCAGCATTTTGCACCATTTGGAGACGATTGAGGGAGTACTGGTTAACACCTAGGTATAAAGCATTGCAATAATGAAGTCTAGAAGTGATAAAAGCATGGATTGCAATCTCAAAATCATTAAAAAAAATGAATGCCTTGACCTTGCATAACAGCCTCAGGTGGAAGAAGCTAGATTTCACAACTGAGTTGATCTTCTTGTCAAACCTCAAGTCGCCATCAAACATCACCCCTAGATTTTTTACAGTTGACTTCAAGTGTTGGGCTAGGGGGCCCAGGGCCTGATTAGAAGCAGTTAGGTTCACCAGGTCGCCAATTCGTTGAGATTTAAAAAGTTAAGTGCCAACCATGATTTCAGGTCTGTCAGACAGTCAAACAGCAGCTGTAATGACATTCCTCTTTTTGCCTTTAACGGTAAGGAAATCTGAATGTCATCAGCATAACAATGAAAAGAAAGGCCATATTTCCTTAAGATAGATCCCAGTGGGAGCATGTACAAACAGAACAAAATGGGACTAAGCACAGATCCTTGGGGGACACCACAGCAAAGGATAGTTGAGGATGATGAACAGGTACCAATATTAACAGTAAAACATCTATTTATGAGATAAGATCTGAACCAGTTAAGATTATTAGTGAGATAAAATCTAAACCAGTTAAGAACAGCACCATAAATTCCTTCGCACTGCTCCACACTTTATGTAGTGTTGATATGAAAAGTGACTGCACATCAGCTTATTCTATGTATTAATTATAAAAAAAAATCTATGAAAAATGCTATTAAATGTATCTTATCATTAAAAAATGAAAATTAAATTGATGGGTAATAATAAATTATGACTGACATTGACCCCTGATGGTGACAGCTGGGTCAGTTGTGTTTAATGTAGACCTTAAGGACTCTGAGTTGGGTAATGGTGACTTAACTTAGACTGAATTCGGATTATTCTTTGATGACTCAGAGTTGATTCAAACTTAAACACTGGGGGCTCGACACCCGACTCAAACTTGAACACTGAGGACTCGAGACTCGACTTGGACTCAAACATAGGGGACTCGAGACTCTATTCTGACTCGGATTCAAACACTAGGGACCTGACACCCAACTCAGACTCAAACACTGGGGACTCAAGGCTTGACATGACAACAATGAGGACCTGAGACTCAACTCCGGCTCGAACACTGGGGTCTCACCTACAAAACTAGTCCATTTTGTGAGGCAAGGATTTTCTGTTGTGTTGCTTATGGATAAGGCAAGGTGGTGCAGTGGTTAACACTGTTGCCTCACAGCATGTTAGGAGGGAATTTGAAGGTCAACCATAAAGAAAGTACAAACCCTACTGGGAAAGGGAATTTCATACGCAGGGTGAGCGGGCGTTAAGTCTATAATGGGTATTCAATCATGAAAAAGCTACATTTCTCTTGTGAAGGCACAAGTGGTCCCCGTGGTAATAGGAACATTGGGGGCTGTGACCCCCAAACTGGGAGAGTGGCTCCAACAGATCCCAGGAACAACATCTGAGATCTCTGTCCAGAAGAGTGCAGTGCTAGGAACAGCTAAGATACTGCACAGGACCCTCAAGCTCCCAGGCCTCTGGTAGAGGACCCGAGCTTGAAGGAAGGAATAAGACCGCCCCGAAGTGGGGGGCGAGTGGGGAATTTTTATATAATGCATTGCATGTTTGTAAATACTTTTTAAATTTATTTCCGAATGGTCATCAGTCATGGTGGAGCGGTATTTGGACTTAATAATCTTAGTGTGAGAAATTGCTGACTCACATAAATAAGTAGAGCCAAATAATGCAGTCAAGGAGGTAGCACATTTCCTCATGTTAGGGTCCATTAGTCCTGGACTTCAGCTGAATGTCAGCCTGTAGTGTCAATATCTCATCCTCCACTCCAGACGAGTTCAGGTGAAACAGCATTGCAATTTTTGATGCGAGTGAATCAACCTCAACATCTTCCCTAAATGGGTAGCACATAAATGTAGCGACTGGGTCAAGTATAGCAAAGTCTTGAAAGCATTTGTCAAACTCTGAACGACAATTGTCACTCTGCTCTGTGTAGCACACAGTGTCAAGTTGAGCGCACACCTTCCATTGTGTGAAAAAAAGTCCTCCTCCCATTCCGCATGGAAGTGGTAAGTTTTCAGTTTCTTATTTGATTCGGCTCCCCCACTCATTTTTATACCCTTTCTTTAGTAGAAATAAATTTGAAGGTTGACAAGGTAGTTCGCTCACTGGAGTTTTGCAGTAGCTCATGCGGTTGACTGCGCATGGCTGCCCTGCATGTCAATTAAGTGGCAAATGCCATAGGGAGGATGGATGACAGGCTAACATCTAATTTTGTTTTGAATGGCACATGATCTACCTTTGCGATCAACCTGTCGATCGGGATTGACGTATTGGGCACCCCTGGTGTATTCAAATGTGTCAACTGTTTCACAGCATCATAAAATACATATTGATGCAGATCATGTTTTTAGAATTTTTAGAGCAGTGAAAGAGAGGAAAGAGAGTCTAGCTTCTGATAATATTAGTGGTCAACTGGCTGATTTCTTCCTCTATTTGTATGAAGTCTCTTCAACTTCAGAGAGTTCCCCACCTCTGGAAAGACTCAGTAATTGTACCTGCACGTAGGATTAAGGGAAATCTGCCTAATCTAAATTAAATTTTTTAATGACTTTCACACTTACTTATCTAGGCCCATGAGAAGATTGTGAAAAATGAGATTTTGAGTGGGATTCATTACAAGTTGAATTCTTTACAATTTGGCTATAGAGCAGGAAGAGGTGTGGAGGATGCTGTAGGCACCCTACTTCACATGGTTCAGAGGCATCTGGATGGCGTCAAACTTTGCACAGCTGTGTTTTATTGATTTTTCTGCTTTTAAATTTGTCCAACCTCATTTTTTAGCAAACCACCTCACTAACAGTTTTATTTATTAATTCTTGTTTAATATCTTGGTTGACTGACTTTTCAATGAACTGATCTCAAAAAGTGAGAATTAATGAAATTGTATCTGAAGTCCTTTTATCCTCCACAGGCTCCCCTTATAGCTGCGTTCTTTTGGCTCTTTATATACTATTGAGTGTAGAGCCATTATGCAGATAGACATAGTTAAGTCTGCAGATGATTCTGTGATTGTGTCATTACTCAAC